AACCAGTGGCCTCAGCAAGTTATTGCTGATATTGCCTGGAAGTCTCTGAGCATTGCYAYCCACCATATCTCCAGGGACGTCTTGGTCACTAAATGTTGCAACAATATTCTGCCCACCGCCACMGTTCTTAAACGGTGGAACTAYCAACRGCAGGATACCTGTTGTCTTTGCCAGTTGCCTGAAGATTCCGAACACCTTTTTTGCTGCTCCCACCCATCACGCATCAGCTGGCGGAGACAGACCATCACTTCTCTACGACAACGCATGTCCACACTTGGTTTCCGACCAATTGTCATTGATACTCTCGCTACATGTCTTACCGAATGGTTAGACACTGGCACCGTTTCTCCTGAGAAATATCCTACATCCCTTCATCCTGTTATTCATTTTCAGAGTGAGATTGGTTGGCACCATATGTTTGCTGGTCACATTTTGCTCCAGTGGTTTACCGATCTTGATCTTCATTCCGGCTCTTACTCCCTGCTTGTCTTAGGGGGTTACCTTGTGGAGTTCCTTCTTACCTACTATATATCTTTATGGGAACAGAGAAATAAGGATCTCCATGGCCATACGCTTTCACAGAAACAAGTAGAGTATCGAAAGCGCGTGGTGATGAAAGTTCGGACCTTATTTGCATTGAAATCTCAAACCTGTCCATCTCATGCACATCTATTCCCTGACGATATGGAAGCATTCTTATCGCAGACACCTACCTCCATGCTCTCTTATTATCATCGAGCCTACGAGAAACCGATTCTGACGAGTGTCACCCAAGCTACAAGTGCTTTGGTCTCCAACACCCGCCCCATTACCCAGTATTTTCCACCATTGCTTCATAGTAAACAACCACCGGAGAGCGTCACACACGATGGGCTAGTCTTTGATGCATACTCCAAGAAGAGAAGACATAAATCCCCTGCGTCACCAACAAATTCTTTGGTCTCTGCCGCACCCACCCATACCATGCAAACTACTATGAACCAATACTTCACTTAAACATGTCCTCTGAGTCTAGCCTTGGGCCTTCAATGGCCTATCAGTGTACATAAAACCTGGTCRCGCCTCCACAAAACCTCCTTGGAGGGAGGCGCCGCCCCTCAGAGCAGCTAGAAGCATTCTTTCTCACAAAAGCAATGGTTCTGGCCTTCCTAGTGCCTCTTCTAGTTCACGAGGCTAAACATAACTTTAAGATTTTTTTTTTTTCATCAACAGCGGGTGGTGACAAAAGTCCACACTCTGTTTGAACTGAAATCACAGACCTGTCCATCCCACGCCCACCTATTCCTATAAGATATGGAATACTTTTTATCAACTCCATCTACTTCCATGCTCACATATTACCTTCGAGTCTACGAGAAAATGATTCTAGCAAGTGTCACCAAAGTAACGCTTGCCTCTGTCTCCAACACTCGCCCTATTACTCAGTACTTTCAACTTTTGCCTCATAATAAACAACCACCTGAGAGCGTCACACAAGATGGGCTGATCTTTGACGCGTACCACTCCAAGAAGAAACGACACAAACCCTCTGCATCACCAAAGCTTTCTTTGGTCTCTACCACAAACACCCATACCATACAAACTAATATGAACAATTATTTCCATTAATTCCTCAGCCCAAACAAAACCCTGGTCGCACTTCCATCAAAACTCCTCAGAGGGAAGTGCCGCCCCTCAGAGCAGCTAGGAGCATTCTTTCTAACAAAAGCTATGGTTCTGGCCATATAATGCCTCTTCTAGTTCACGAGGTAAAATATAATATTAAGATTTTTTTTATACAGAGGATGCTGATACGGACGCTGATACGTGTTGCTGATACAGAGGATGCTGATATGGATGCTGATACGTGTTGCTGATACGTGTTGCTGATACATGTTGCTGATATGGACGATGCTGATAAGGAGGCTTGTTCCTGATACGGAGGATGCTGATAAAGTTGCTGATATGGAGGCTCCTTGATACTGAGGCTCGCTGATACAGAGGCTCGCTCTCTGATACGGGGGAGGCTTGCTTGCTGATATGAGCCAGTGATATGGAGGCTTGCAGATATGGTGTCCACTGATATGGATACGCTGATACAAGTTGCTGATAAGGAAGATGCTGATATGGACAACGCTGGTGATATGGAGGATCCAGGGAGGGATAAGAGCCCATTCCCATATCAGGAGAGGCAATGCTTGTAAGTCATTTGCTGGATCCAGATAGGGACCAGGGACGCCGCTGATACAGACTGGACAACAACAATACGGAGGCTCATGGATAAGGAGGATGCTGATACGGTGTCTGCTGATACGTCCAGGATGCTGATACAAGGCTCACTGATACAGAGGATGCTCACTGGTATGGAGGATGCTGATACTGAGGATGCTCGCTGATACAGACACTCGCTCGCTGATACGGAGGATGCTGATAAGACACTGATACGGAGGACAACAATGATACTGATACAAACCGACAACACTGATATGGACCAACAACAATGCTGACAAAGGACACTTACACCAGTTCTTCAAAGGAAGCCCCCTATTCCCATGGTCAAAGTGCAAAGAAGCATTTGAAAGTGAGCTAGATTTAAAAAATGAATATTGCAGCTGCAGCAGTTTTACGAGTGAAATCCAAAAACAGCAGCAAGGTATAGTAGAGTGTAGTACAGATTCTACTGAAGCATTTGAAAAGTGGTACTTTGGTACCATCTTGTACTAAGCCTACATAAATCATGTAGGAATACAGGTTTTTTGTTGGTACCATCTTGTACCAGGCCTACGTAAATCAAGTAGCGATACAGGTTTTTTGTTGTCCCCCCGGAAAAGCAACAGAACAGCAATGTCAATTGCTGGCAAGGGTCTCCTCCACTGCTCAACCTTGCAAGCATTGGATTACACAACTAACACCACCCCTCTCTTGTCCTCCTCCTCCTCAGCATATGAGCTGCTGAATTTTGCTGTAGGAACAGGCTCCTTTTCCTTTGCCGGGGGGCTTGAAATAGGAGCCTGTTCCTACAGCAAAATTCAGCAGCTCATTTGCCTTGGAGTTGACTGATTTTGGTGGCACGTGCTGTCCCTATCTAAAAAGAAAATCATTGGCATGCGCCTCAAATTTTCTTTTAGAAAGGGACAGCACATGCCACCAAAATCAGAGGATGGGGTTTTACTTTTAGTATTTGCTTTAGCGAGCCAATCAATAAAACCAGGTATGGTACTATGGTATGGTACGTAAAATAATTAGTTGAAGGTAGGGTACAGTACTACTCATATGATACAATACGGATATCTTTCTGCAATCAATCCCTACCAATTGGCTATGGTGCACTACACTGCACTTCACTAACTTTAGTGTGCGGTAGTAGCCAGTAACTTTGAAGAATTCTTGTTACAGCCCTGGACTTACCAAGGAAACAAAAAGAAACTTGTTTTTAGTGTGGATTTGTTCAAACCCTGGTATACCATTTCTTGCAAATAAATTAGTACCTTGACCAATAATAGATTATTCATTTTTAACTTAAACATTCAGTCATTGTTGTGACAACAAGTCATTCTAGTAGCAATAACCTAGTTTTTGCACCATAGTAAGTTTTTTTGGCCGCCGTCATCCTTCAAAAAAAAACAGCGGCGGCCGCAACCAATCACTACCCATAACCGTTGATTAGCATTGAAATTACATGTAACCATGTGCACTTGGTTACTAAACTGGTACATGATTTGTTGAGCAAATCATGCGTACAAACACTAGTTATTTTTTTGCTTAAGTACATGCACCTCAACTGGTTACAAAGCACGCGGACTGAATTTTGTAACCAGAATTGTAACCAAACCCTTCCCTAGTATAGAGGAGAGGCCCTTCTTTTCACCATGATAACACTAGTAATGTGGTTACCAAAAAAACCTGGTCTGGTTACAAAAAAGGGCACCAGTTTGCTTGTGTGCACATGTAACCACATGTAACCAGCGCGCCCAACCTCAACAGGTACCGACTAAAAACTGTCTTCAATAAAAATGTTGTATCAGTAGTAGTACACAGTATATTGTAGTATGAGGAGTACTAAAAAAATGTGAGCAGTTTTCAGCTGAAGAAACTGATCTTGATTGCTATTCCAGCACAAACTCATGTAGAAAACACTGTAGAAATATTGATTTGCAGGGGAAACAAGCAAAAAAACAAGCAAAACACCAGCATCCGCATCGTATCAGCGGCTCCTCCGTATCAGCAACTTGTATCAGTGTCCTCCATATCATATCAGTGTCCTCTGTCTTGTATCAGCAGCGTCCTCCATATCATTGACTCGTATCATCAACTCCTCGTATCAGCGTCCTCAGTATCAGCGTCCTCTGTATCAGTATCCTCCGTATCAGTGAGCCTCCATTTCAGTGTCCTCCGTATCAGCGAGCCGCTGTATCAGCATCCTCTGTATCGTGTCAGTGACTCCTATCAGCGACTCGAATCAGCGACTCATATCAGTGTCCTCTATATCGTAGTATCAGTGACTCGTATCACCAGTGTCCTCTGTATCGTATCAGTAACTCGATTGTGCTGATGTGCATGGATACATGTAAATTTCGATGCTACTCAATCGGTTACGTAAATAACTGTGGCATCACATCACTCCCACGCCACAAGTATCTTCAACACTAACAAGCTCTCGAGCTAAAGCTCTCGCGCTGGTTAGTGTTGAAGATACTGTGATGTTGCAGTAACCTCACTTTGATCTCAAGCAAGCTCTCAATCTCAGTGATGTTACTGGTGTACCATAAATGTAACCAGAAAATGTACTCTGTTGAGCTCCGTGTTATTATCGTGTGAAGAGTTTTTGTTCTGTGCACGATGATAATAACACACAACACGGAGCTCAACAGAGTACATTTTCTCGTTACATTTATGGTACACGCGCGGACCGTGCGACGCCACAGTTAATACATACCGTACTTGGAGACCATCAATGAAATTCGGGAATAACTTCTTTCCGAACTTGCCATGCTCGTAGTTACTGCACCTTAAAGCATCGCAGCACAGCAAGAATGATGCAATGATGAAACCGATGCAGAAAAGTAAACACACGGCACAAAAAAGACTACCTGCAACATCCTAGAATCATTACAGTCGCATCCTTGACTTCAATGCTTTGCCTGCAAAATTATACGACAAATTTAAGACAACAACGACCTTATGACTACTGTACCGGCAGCCACCCAACAATCGGAAGAAAAGAACGGCAACGCGAATGACGACGTGACATCTAGGGATAGACGCCTTTGCGAGGAATGTAATGAAGAAAGTGCATTATACCAATGCCCGGGGTGCTTGATCCGAACATGCTCTTTGAAGTGTTGTCAAGCACACAAGAAACGAACAAAATGCTCCGGAAAACGACCTCGAGGAGCATATCTCCCACTTTGCCGCATGAATGATAGCACGCTTCGAAGCGACTACTTTTTCATGGAAGAAGTTTTAGATTCTATACCTCGTGCACGAAAGATATCAAAACTTGCCGAGGAAGGCAAATCATGTATGAACCGTAGCATGCATGGGAAAAGTTCGAACCTCCAGAAATCGATAGCATCTATCAATAAGAAGGCGAAACGATTGGTCCAACAGGCGCAACGCCGTGGAATCACTGTGCAGGTGATGCCTCCAATTCTTGAAAGGCACAAAAACAACACATCCTGGTATTGCGGCCCGCGAGATCTAATAATGTGGAAAGTCGAAGTAGTTCTAGTGCCTACAGAGAGTACAGTTTCGTTTAATTTGTCAGAAAAGGAGGAGAGTATTCTGGATCACATCGCAAAACACATTACTGAATTTCACAAAAATGACCCAAACATGCCTACGAAATTATCACCACAGAATTATCAACTTCTCATTAAACGGCTTCCGAGTGCAGCAAACAGTCCAAGATACGCCCGAATAGAAAATAACAAATCTTTGCGTGAAGTATTGGAGGGCTTCATGGTAGTCGAGCACCCAACAATATACTGCGTGCCTAATGAGAAAATGACAGATTTTCCAATAGGCACAAAAGAAATAATAGAGAGATCATGTGATACTCATTCTGAAACTGTTTCTGACAACTATCTTCCAACCTCTGATTGACTACATTTGCAGCAGATGCTACTTTCAGGCTGTAAAAGCCTCGTTAAACTCATTCGGAAGCTTCATGTGCTCCACCGTCAATTTGCTCACCGCTTCAAAACCAAGTTAAAGTTTGAGATAGCAGTTGCGAAAATAAATGAGAATTGTTAGAACAAGTCGAATCCATTACAGAAAGTACATTACCGCGTGCTGTAGGTGTTGCATTTGGTTGCGGCCTTTGAAATTCCCTAGGTAGCCAAAAGATGGACTCGCGATGATGCATTCTCACCTTTGAAATTCTTATGCTCTGCAGATTGCATCAACATAAATGCAGTCGACTGAGCTGTGGTAACAAATGCCCCCGCCTGCGACATTCGCTGAAGTGCGATCTCTCGATCATAAGGCTGTTGGGAACTGATCCCATCCGCGATTAGGTGAACATCTGTTCCCTCTTCCAATAAATCCAAGCAAGTCTGCTGAACGCAAACGTGTGCCTCGATACCGAATAGAACAATCGACTTTTTATTCAAATCACTTAGATGCCGCTTTACTTCTTCCGTGCACATTGAAAATCGTTTCTTCTCGAACACCTTGCAACTAAGGAAATGTTCCTTGTCTGCAAATGTATCTTCAACAGTGTTGCCAAAAACTTTTGTGTATTGTTGAGTGACGACAACAGGGATGTCCAAAGCCTTTGCCACAGAGGTCATATAATTTGCAGTTCGAATTATTGTCTCTCCGCGCCATGTGATGGGGCGAAAGCGATCTTGAATATCGCAAAGCAAAAATAAGGTTTCTTCAGGCTTGAGCTTACCGATGGAACGGCGTGCCGAATTCATTAGACTGGTATTCATCATAGTGGCGCTGAGTGATAGGTGATAGTGAGAAAACCAATAAATCATTAACACCATAGACCATCGATACGTCCAACAAGAGAAATTTTCGAAGATGCCGATTGAATTAGTTCCAATGTACTAAGCATATTTCTTTGGTTGAATTTCGTCCAAATCCATGGGTTCTCAAAATATTTATTTATCGTACTTATCATCTCGATCGTCTCACCTCCTTTTTGTGTTGTCAATTTGCAGTCCTTCTAAAGTTTGAAAGAAATTTGTGATTAACAAGAATGATATCAGCAACGCATGTGACGTAACCTTGATTACAATGAACATGGTGCATACCGAATGAGGTACGATGTACCGAGAAGTAAGATACGTTATTAGAATTAGAACGTCGGCGCGTTGAAATGGTCTTCGTGGCCTGAGGCGCGGAGGCTTGCGAAAACAGAAAACCCCTTAAGGTCAGAGGTACGGTTACGGAACGAGGAACGAGGGGTACAGCAGGCGTACGTACAGTACGTACGTACCTGGTATGCTACTGTACAGCAAAGGGGACGTATTCGTACTCATAAGTAGTACGTTGGGTACGAAGTACGAAATGATGATGTATTTCTGCGAAGTGAAGTTCTGTACTTGGTAGAAGTAATTGGTACCATACCGTACAGTACCGTACCAGGCAACGTTCGTACAGTTGTGCTTTTCGTAATTTCACTGAATTGCAGAAATACTAAATACTACTTCTACTAGTACGAAGTAATAAATTAGGTTATTCACTAGTTATACGGGATTAGTAATTGTCGCTCGAGAAATTAATGGCGCGCAACATTTTTGGCCTCTCTACCAGTTGTACAACCATTATTTTTTCTAGTCCCACTGTTGGAATTTCATGAGCCAGCATTAAATCTTCGAAAAGCGGAAGACAAGTTTCAGATTGATCATTACTTTACTGGTTGCGAGGAGGTTTCAATTAGGCCCTCGACTGCAATACTCTCTAACTCAAAATACTGCCAATTGAAAAATGGTACTAATGGAAGCTTGAATTGAACAGCTCTCGGTCGCAAACGATGGTGTTGCTGGAAATTGCACTTCTTCGCGAATACAGTCTATGTAGTTAATAAACGTATCATTTCTGCTAGTATGGATATCTTATTGTTGTTTTGTTATGTCGTTATTAAGAAGGGTAAAAATTGAAGTGCGTAAAATTTGTTCAGGGCGAGCGTGTGGTATACACGTTGTTTGGTTTTATGTTTGTACAAGGTTTTGAAGAACCGTTCCTTATGCGAGAAACGAATGCTATTGGCGGCAATATGTGGTGCCAGTTTCCAAAGGGCCTCTTCAAGTTTGACGTTCAACTTGTATGGTGGTAGGTTGCAAGCATTGTGTCGTGAGCCTCAATGCGGACATGCCGTTGATTTTTGACTACGTCGCAAAAATACTTGTTGAGGTCTGTATATAAGCAGAGTTTGACCCCCTTTATTTTTGGTGTTACGCAGTTCTCGACGAAATGCCTCTGGCGAGTGAGGAAAGATCAGACTTGATTTTCTTGGAGCGGACCAGCCTTCGGGATGAGGTCTTGGGAGAGCATCGTCCTCTCTTTCCTAGTGAACAGTCGAAGTCGGCGAAAATAGAATTCCAAGAGTCCATGCTTCGGATGGAGCTAGTGTCAGAATCACAATCTTCGTTTTGATCCCACTCAATAACCGGAAAGGCACTCACGTCGTGCTCAAAATTTAGTCTGAAGAATTCGTGAGTGATTTTCGAATCGATGTTTGCCTGTCTTGCCGTCATCTTGTTCTGTTGAAGCTCCAGTGCTTTTGTTGCTGGGCAAGTGTTCGTTGGTACCATCATGATTGTTACAATCGTTTTACGATTCAGGTAAAGTTGCTTCTTCTTTTTGAAATTCGATGTTTTATTTTTTGTCACCTTTCGATCCTTCACAATCGAAACAACGCACTATTAGTTTCTCCCGCAACTGAACACCAAAACGCTATGAGTTGTCTTACTCGTACTGCTGAAGAAAACGTCGAAGAAGGTTTTCTCCAAGCGCAACTATGTCAAGATCAGTCTTTCAATTCAAAAGAATTCACAAGAAGAACACACGTCGATTTACATCATTTTCGTAATCTTCTCTTCACGTGGTACCGACTGTAGATGGAAAGAACTGCGAAGGTTGTCTTACGAGATTTGATGTCTTCTACTCTACTTAATGAGTCTCAAAATCGATCCCTAAGTAAAAAAGACGTGCGTAATTTTGTATTCACAGATGGTCTTCAAAACCATAAGTCGTAATAAGTAATATTCAGCTGCCGAACAGATGCGTTTTTTTTGTTTTGAAGAACTGTTCTTCGACATCAGTCATGTCCGAGATCCATCTTTGATTCTCTAGTACAAAATTACATGATAGTTCTTCGTAGCGGTCTTCCCATTGCAGTAATGAAAAAAAGGACGTACTTACCGTACCGTACGGTACGGTATGGTAGTCGCGAATAAATCATACTGTAATACTGTAGAAAAAAATCGTAGAACTACTCTAACTTGTTCTTATTGTACGTAACATATTACAGGCCGGTTGGTAGAAGAAGATTCTTCTCCTTATTTGTTCTATGAGTACCTGTACCGTACGTAAGATACTGTTCTGAGAAGTAGACTTTGGGGAGAGAACGAGCTGAAAAATACGAAGGTACTGTGTAGTGGTACGATACCCCAAAATACTCGTACTATTGGGGATCGGGGTTCTTTGCCCTGGGTGGGCCCCCTATCTATTGGGCGATTCCCATTTTTGACAGACAGCAGACAGACCAAAAATAGACCATTTAGTCTTAATTTTTTTACTTTCTGTCAACGCTCAATTCACCCTTGTTGACAGAAAGTCTAAATCTAGACTCCTGGAATCCAAGAATGAAAATCTGTTGAAAGACTCAAGAACTGAAAAGGCCTGTCAAATTTGAGACTGAAAAAAAATACTTATAGAAGGCAATCATAAAGAAGAAACTGACAATGAAAACAATGTCACCTGTCTCAGCCGTTAGTACTCTATACATTGGATTGAAACAAAGAGAGGCAAAACTGCTGCAGGCCTTCTATCAAGAAACAGGGAGAGGGGGGAAGATCCCTCTCACAATATTCATTCCACGAGCAAAGATGTAAACTGATTGCTTGCCTCCACCGGCACCTGTCCCTCCCTCAGGAGGGCAATCAAAAGTAGAGGGGTCAGGTGGTAAGGCTTGTACTGCAACAAACTACTTGGAAGAGGAGCTTATCTCATTGATGACCCTCATCAAGGAGATCCTCCCCATTGGTAAGGGTGGCTGGCTCATGGTGGTTCATAGACATAGACAGAGCTATCCCTATGGTAGAACAAAGGATTCCATCAAAACCAAGTTCAATTGGTTGAGGAGACAGAAGTTGCCTACTGCTGGGAATCCCAATATCCCTGAGTCAGTCCAGCTTGCAAGAGAGGCCCATCGCTTGATTGGAATAAAGGCAAATATTGGAACTGGAGAAGAGACTTTTGATCCAGTCAAAGGTTACATTGATGATGAGGATGATGAGGTCTTGGAGAACACTTTAACTCCAAAATCAAAATCAAGCAACACATTGTCAACATCCAATACTGCCAACAGCAATGATTCACCCATTGTCATGACAGCAACAAGAAAGAGATCGTATGGAAAGCTGAAGAAGGAAATTGCTGAACAGGATGATGTTCTTAAGGAGTATCTCATGCAACAGGATAAGAGGGAAGCTGAAAGAGACAAGAAGACTGATGAGAGGGAGAAAGCAATAGTGCAGAGGGCTGATGAGCAAAATGAGAAGTGGCTTACCTTGGCTCAAACCTTTGCCTCAACCATGGCCATGGAGCTTGCTGGTAACAAACGCCTGTGCAGCAAATTCCATGGTGATAGCCATTGATTCCATCTCATGGTGATTCTACAATTTAAAGACTACAATTATTAAATCTAAATCATTTATCATACGGCAGCACAATAGCAGCAAAAAAACAAAATAATAGTGCTTCAAGCACTGGTAGCAGACAAGCTTCTTGGTACCTTGGTGAATTTCAAGGAACTGACAGCCCCAACTGATCCTGAAGATGTTTTCTATTTGGAACCGGAACTATATGAGTGTCTACTCAACCTACCTCCAGTCTCAGAAATGGATAATCCATTAACAAGAAGTGAAACCATTTATGTTTTTCAACTCATGGAACCCCAGTGTCAGCAACTGCATGAATCAGATCCAAAACACTACGTTAAAAGGAAGATAGGAACCTTTGAGTTACTCACAGTAACTCTGACTAAAGGAAGGAACTCCATGGACAGCAATAATAACAATTGGAAGATTTATTTGCCCAATGGTCTTGTGGACAGAACCCTCAGATGGTATCACCTCTTATTGGGACACTGTCGAACTACAAGACTCTACAAGACAATCAATCCTAGGTTCTATGCCCCAAGACTCAGCCAGAAATGCAAAGAATACCAATGCCCAGATGAATGTCATCAATTCAAGCAACAGGGCCAAGGATATGGTCAATTACCACCTCGGGAGGCTCAACTCACCCCTTGGAATGAAGTCTGTGTTGACCTGATAGGTCCTTGGAAAATACTCCTTCTGGATGAGACTGAATTGGTAATTTATGCTCTCACTTGCATTGATCCTGTCACCAACCTTCTGGAGATCATTAGAATTAACAACAAATCAAGTGAACATGTTGCTGAACATTTGCCAACTGTTGGTTATCCTGATATCCAAGACCTAACAGATGTGTTCATGATAATGGTAAGGAATTCATAGGAACACCCTTCAAGCAGCTTTTAAATCAATTTGGAATAAAGAGTGTTCAAACCACAGTAAAGAATCCACAGGCAAATGCAGTATGTGAAAGAGTCCACCAGACTATTCCCAATGTTTTACAGGCTAACCTTCATACTACAAGCCCCAACAAGGAAGCTGAGTTTGATGAGGAGCAACTGATTAAAAATGCACTACTAGCCTCTGCAATGCATGCCACCAGATGTACTGTTAACGCTTCCCTAAACAACTCACCTGGAGCCCTGGTCTTCCACAGAGACATGGTAATGGATATTCCACTCATTGTTGACCTAACCACCATCAGAGACAAGCGCCAACACCTGATAGATGGAAATCTTAGAAGAGAAAATGCTAGGAGGATACCTTTCCTGTATCAGGTTGGCCAGCAAGCCTACATGAAATACTACAAACCAGACAAACTCTCTCAGAGATTACATGGTCCCTATCCTATAGTGGAGATCAACACAATGGAACAGTGGTGGTGCAACAAAGTGACAATGTCCGTGAAACAGTCAACATTTGGAAGCTTGTCCCCTATAAAGGAATTGCTGCCAATGCTATTCCTGAAGACCCAGCAACAATGGAGGAGGAACCCCCTGTTGAAGATACCCAAGATGTTGTTATTGCTACAGTTTAATTAGTAATACAGAAAGCAGCATTACTGTCAGGGATATTTCAATGGGGTACATATGTACAGTATGGGAATACATATGTACGATACGGACTGCGTACATATGATACGGAAATAAGGATACATATGGTACGGGATTAAGGATTGCAAGGATACAGAATCAGTATGGTTGGACATACCATTCCTACCTACATATTGTAATATACTGTTTATATATATACATCATAGGATCCATTGTACAGAGAGGTCTAAGATACGAGGCACGGTGACATTGCAAAGAACAAAGATGTCACGAGTCCGGAATAGTAGGAACCTCATGTAGATTCAGTACTGGAATCTACATAGGGATCTAATTGGAACTCAAGAATTCTTGTGTTCACACGATGACACTTTAATCTTATAATTCAAATCTTATACAGCACTAAGAAAACACTTAAAGAGTACACGTATTCCGTGCAGGTAGAAAACCTAAAAACCCGGTATGAAGTTTTTTTTAACATAGACCGTAGTACAAAATGAATGGCTGTTTTTAAGGTCTATAAACTTTGTCTTCCTGGGCCCTCAGTTATAATTTTAAAAAAATAGTTTCCCGTACACCCCGCAAAACAAGGAGAAACAAAGAGAATACTACTTCTCTTTGTTTAAAAGGGCAATATTCTCATTGTTTCTCATTGTTGTAACAAAGAGAAACTAAGAGAACATTGCCTCTCCTTGTTTCTCTTTTTTGCACATTGTTTAAATAAGGAGAAAGAATGAGAATATTGCCTGGGTTATTTTCTCATTGTTTCTCTTTGTTTAAGCAGAGTGAATTTAACCTGGGGGGCACTATTCTCTGTATTTTTACATAGTGAAATGATGGGAGCAATTCCCGTTCATACGAGGAGAAACAAAGAGAATATTGCCCAGGCAACATTATCTTTTTTCTTCATGTTTAAACAAAGAGAAACAAAGAGAATATTGCTTCTCCTTGTTTCTCTTTGATTTGTCGATTTTTAACAAAGAGAAAGATAATATTGCCTGGGCAATTCTCACTTTGTTTCTCTTTGTTATAACATGGAAAAACCTATGGGAATCCCTGATCTTGGTTGGTGACTGTCTTCCTTAAAAACTAACAGAGGGCCCAGGAAATTTCACCTGCCAATGGTTGCTGTTTGTTCAAAAAATAACATTGGCACATGAAAACTTGCTGATACTATGCCTCCGGAATGCTGCTTGGGTGATGTGGGTGACGTGTGCTGTGGTGATAAGTGCAAAAAAGGTCTGGTTCGACTTCCACTTGCAGCGTACCGCAAAAGACCTAATTTTAAACTACGGTACGATAAACCTCGAAGATTGAAGGGACGGTCAATCATAACACCAAACAATGAACCACTCAATTCGTCCCCAAGACCACTACGAAGATTAAAAATGGAACGAACAGCTAGGGCCTTATTCATTTTCCAGATTCTCATTTGTGTGACCGTCCGGAATTTTTTAGCTTCATCCTTTGCGCCGATTGCAAACACTGTGGGAGCACGAAGGTATCGCCTTTTTCGTATGAAATCTTCGTTGTCAGCTAAGGATTTGAAGAATCTTTCTTCTGGTAAAATCATAGGCCCAGAAATCCCCTCGGTCGAAGTTTCATCGAAAAGATTATTTCTGGTTAGACATGGTGAAGTCATCAACCCAGGTGAGAGGAGACAAGGCATCTATTTTAAATCCGAAGCGTTGCATTCAGTGCATATATGATACGATGCAAATCATTGCGTGTGCGTGGATAGAGCACGTACGAATACTAATTTATTGGACGACTCGCATCGTACGATGACACTGTTCTTCAATTTTAGGTGGAGATCGGCCGGTATATTATGGGGCTTTGGACGTCTCCTTATCACCTCTGGGAGAAGCCGAAGCAAAGGCTGCAGCGATGTACCTCGAACAATTTGATCTCGATCTTGTTGTAAGTAGCCCCTTGTCACGGGCGGTCTATGGCGCGGAGCAAGTGCTATCATTACAAAAAGATCTTGATACGCCCGTTGTTAGAATGGAGGGATTCAAAGAGCTTGATCGGGGATCTTGGTGTGGGAAAACGAAGGAAGAAATTGGTTTGGAAGCAATGGCAAAATTTGACGCTTGCGATGAAAGTGTTACTCCAGAGGGTGGCGAATCGTACCCTTTTCTAAAGACACGCGTGCTCGAAGATAGAGATGCAGTTCTAGATGGGTTGCCAGCGGGTGGAACTGCTGCTATTGTTTCTCATTTACAGGTAACAAGAAGTATGCTCAGTGACGCTCTTGGTATTCCAACTGCGAAGATGGCAGGATTGGGGATTGCGACGGCTAGCGTGACTTGTATCGATTATAATCCAGATGGATCCCAAACCGTCCATTTTCAGAGTTTCAAACCCGATGTTGGTCTCGAAAAAAGTGTAGACGGTGCAAACTAGCTTTTAGGTAAGAGTAGCTTTCAAGAAGTACGTAACAAATGCCGGTACAATTGGAACATTTGATATCGATATCAACGAAATTTCTTACGAGTTTTAATTAAGATTGATTGAATAGCCTAAGGCGCACTTCAGTTTTGTAAATTTTCCATCTCAGACTATCATTTCATGCTTTGCTAGATAGAACTTAATTTTAATTGTGTTTTCAAATATCTGTCTAATCCTGATCTTCTCTTTTTGCATTGCTGGATTCAATAATATTGTTCTTGAAGTAGTAGTACTAGATCTGATGGAGGGTGATTGAGTAACTTTTCATAGCAAATCTCTTTCAAGGATACAATCTTGATGTTGTTTTGAATAATTACTAGTAGCAAGAGCAAAAACAGCTTACCAACTTTCTTTTGCTCAGAAAGAGCCAATTAGAATTGTAGGGTTGCTTTTAAAAAACATATAGATGTACTAGTACTAGTAGTAACACATGAACTAGAAGAGGTGATAGGAAAGACTGCAGCACTGCACAAGCATGAGGAACAAAACTCCAAGTAGTTGCAGTAAGGGCTAGCACTCCCCAAAGGCACAGCCAGTTTACTAGTACTGATATAATGGGGTGTGCTAAAATGAATAGAAGAATCAAGTCAGAGTGGTTTGTTGATGGGGCTGAGAACAAAGATGGTCAGGAGGAGCCATGGGAGGTGCTGACACTTGATTTTAAATTATATGTGACAAATTGTGACATCTCTTCTTGGAGTGTGCATTAAAGATCTGCAACTTGGGTGACACCCTTCTCTGGTTCCTCTTGTCTACCAGTATATAACAGAAGGGTTTGCTTGGTAGTAATGGGATGACAAGTGTTAGCAGTGGATGCAGGAGTGACATCACAAATATGCTTATATTCATTGATAGTATGGTAGAAGAAGAAGGTTTTGTTTGAGGCAGATGATAGGTGTGATTCTGGGTCTGTGGGAAATACTGACCCTGCTTGAGATGTTGTCCAGTACCAGTAGCTAGGAGTAGTTTGGGGGTAGAGAGATTAAAATAGGTGACAAACCTTTCAAATAAATTGTACCCAAGAATTTCAGAGTTGTTTAATCAGAAATGGATTTGTTTCCTCTACCCTTCATGTAAATGTATGTCTGCTGATGAATTATGGATTTGCCCAGTATCTTCTTCCTGTCACTTTACGCAAACATACTAGTGCATCCCTGTTACATAATTGCAACTAGCACGTTGGTTCTGAAAATTATCACCTACATTTTGTACTGATTCCTACATACATACATATCTGATCTGCACCTTTTGGCATCTGACCATGGTGACATCCCCTTTGGAAGGAAAAAATCTACCTTCCTGGCCTCCATTCAAGCAATCTAGTAGCTAGTACTAGTAATAAGATCATATTCATTCCTCCCCTGTCCCCAGCCAGTGGCAGTTTGCCTCAGCTGGATTTCCCCCTGTTCCTGTGGAAGCTCCTTCTTTAGTATCTTCTTGTCATCCTGATGTTGTAGGAGTGTCTAACATTTGTGTCCAACAACAACCACAAAAACAACAACAACAACAACAACAAAAACAACAACAACAACAACCCAAGCCCCCAGTATTTAACAAAGAACTTTCCTGCAAAGAACAATGCCTGGAGTATGATATGCTACATAAGAATTAGTTTAGAAAAGAATATCTGGTCCTCAGCTCCGTGCACATAATTTTACTGACTGGATGTAGTATTTTCTGGCCATGATGTTGTTGTTTCTGACATTTTTGAACAACAACGACAACAAACCAAACCCCATTACAGCAATCCATCCAAGCCAATGCTGATGAGATTACTAGTACCATTCCTCTCCAGTATTCCCCAGCTGCTGGTAGCAGTCTGCCTCATGCCCATCCACATCACCTGTTCCTCTGGAAGTATCTTCTTCCTTGAAGTTGTCATTTCTGACACCCTTCTTGCCAGACAACAACAACTCAAGCCCCCAGTATCCAACCAAGACCTCTCCTTTGAAGAAGAACACCCTGAGTAGCTACTACATACTCACTTTAAAGAACAAGTCCCAGTTCATTTTCCTGACCAGAAGCAGTGTCTTCTGGTTACAATGTTGTTGCTTCAGAATTGGTGCCAGACATCTATCTAGATCTTTTAGATCTCCTGGTATCTCCACTGTTGGCACCTCTACCTCCACAAAATATCCTCATCGCAACTGTTAATTATGTATATGGGCTCAACTACATCAAGACTGAGTCAATTTGTTTGTTTTTGGTTTTTATTTTTTCTGATTTTTTAAATGACTACTTTGTCACATGAACCTTTGTACACTGTAGGAGACGTTGCCTTAATTGGCTTGGCAGTCTCCTTCTTGACACTCTTAACCTTGATCACTGCAGGGAGACTTGTTGCCTTGTGGCTTGGCAGTGCACTTTGAAATGATCATGGCATGGTTCCAATCCATCCAAACTGTGAACCAACTCTTTTTATATCCTCTGAATCCAGCCCCAGGCTTGTCAGTATGCATAGAACCTGGTCACACCTCCACAAAACCTCCTTGGGGGGAGGCGTTGCCCCTCAGAGCAGCTAGGAGCATCCTTCTCCCCAGTCAGGAGAAGTCATGGCTCTGGCCAATATAGTGCCTCTCCTAGTTCACAAGGTTGCATGTGGTGGTGTTGAGTTGAAGGAGTGGAAGGTGTACAAATTGAAACTACACAAGAGGAGGAAAAGGTTTCCACCTCCCATTGTATTGGTGAACAGAGGTATTTAAATGGATTGCTCCACATGACAAATATTCAAGTCAAAATGGATGTACCACCCTTATAACTGTGGGTTTTGTTTCTGCTGCTGAATGAAGAACAAAAAGCCCACCGGCTGGCACCATTGACTATGGGAAAGTACTAGTAACTGAAGAAACCTGCATGCAAAATGATGTAACACAAGATATGAAGGATTAAAGATGAACTAGGATTGTGCTGTTTATTTAGAGGAAGCAAAGAGAATGTATCATCCTTGCTCATGAATGAAGAAATTGGGGGTGGGTTGTCACCACCAACAAAAGGAAGCATCAGTACTAGTTCATACTAGTACTAGTAGTTGAATGAAGAAGTCAACAAGGAATATTTGCAGAAGTTGGTACCATGTTGATGATGTGTCTTGTTGTGACTGTAAAGAGCATTGGAATCACTTCAATCATCAGATGCAAGGCACTTAATGTATGTTAATATTTCTTTTGTAATTTTTTTCTAACAATGTTTTTGTAGTAATGAGTTGTACTAGTATGAAGTAAGTAGATTAGTAGTATAGCAGTATGAGTACTACTAGAAGCAAGGCAATTTAATTTGAGGGTGACGTCATTTTGCAACACATTGGGTGATTCCTGTTATTCTGAATGTGCTAGATAGCTAAATGTTTAGCACATTTAGATGAAATAGAATAGATTTTCTGCCAGCTTGAAACAAGTTGTTTTGTGCATTTTTGTGCATTTGGGGGCATTTGGAAACTTATCGTATCGTATAGGCTTGGCCTGCCAATGTACGGTTATAACCGTGGATTAGCRGCCATCTAATTACCGTGTAACGACTCGTGGGATTAAAAATTGGCTTGTACTGCAGTGTACAGCGGGCGTTTCACGCGCACGTGCTCAACCAACAATTTTGGCTTCGAACACATGCAAATTTTTAATCCCATGAGTTGCTTT